ATTTTTTAAAAAGAAAATAATCACAGTCATATTATAATGTAACTATTTTTTTCAAATTGATAAAAAATAAGTAATATCATCAAAGTTATTTAAATGAAACAATTATAATTATGTGATTATTATTATTCTAAAATTTAATTTTTAAAATATTTAAAATAATTAATTTTTTAATCAATATTTTTTATAATTTTTATATGTATTTATATAACATTTAATAATATATGAAATTAATATATATATTTTTTCTTTAATTTTATTAGCATATCAAAAACAAGGATATGTATTTAAAATACCAAATCTACGGACCTTGGCTTTAGAATATGTTCCAATTTGTGCCTTGGAATATAACATACTCTTGGCTGGATTAACAAATTTAACAAATTTAGATTTGTCCAATAGTTTTGATGTGGGCATTTTTGATTTTTTCCATTTGATTCCTAATTTAGTATCTTTAGTTTTATATAATGTTAAAATTATTTCTCAAGCTCAAGCTTTTGTTAACAATATTTGTCATTTGAAAAATTTAAGGTAATTATTTATTATTATCATTAACTTACACACACACGCACACACACGCACATATAATAAAATATTTAAAATTTTTAATTCAATGTTTTTGAAATTAGGCATTTAGATATTTCTCAAATCAATCCTGAGGATGGAGTGTTTGCAAATCCTAATACAATCTTATCTGATATTGTAAATGGTTTGCCTCAATTAACATCTTTAGATATTAGTGGCACAAATTTAGCAGGAATCGAAATTGTAAATCGTGCAATACAAACAGTTGAACATTCTTTTTATTCTGACATGTATAATAATCTGTGTGATATACCAGGTCTTATTTCAAGAGTAGATAGACCTTTACAATTTTTAGGATTGTATGGAGCAAATGATGCACCTTGTAGACGTCGTAATATTCCAGCAAAATTGGTAAATAATAAAAATAATAAGTTTATAATAATATATTATAATAATAAGTTATAATAATATATATGTATAATAGTATTGTATAATTTATTTCTTATTTACTAATTATTTTGTAATTTGAATTGCTAGATTGCAGGAAATGCAAATGAAGATCAAATATTAGTTGCAGCTCATGTTTATATGAATAATAAAGAAGATTTAATGTTAAAAGTAATAAGTGATTTATATCAAATCTATAGATATGAAAATTGTCACAGAATGGATCAAGCACTTTGTGCAGTATTAGAAGCAATGGAAAAATATCCTACTCAAAAAGATATACAAATATCTGGAAGGTAAATTTAATTACAAATGAATAAATTTTATATGCAATTGTATTATATATATTAAAAAATTTAATACGTGTATTATTTATATAGTGCAGCACTTTTTTATATTGTAAAAATGAAAGAAAAAGGTGAATTAGAAGCAAGATTGAAAAAAAGAATTGTACGTACACTTCTTATTGGAATGAGTATTCATAAAAATGAAGAAACTATGATGCGTAATGGTTGTCTAACATTATATCAATTTCGATTACCGCAAGATGTGGTATGTATAATCCTTGTTCTTCATATTAAAAACATTATTTCAATTATATTACAAGATATATTTTAAAAAATAGATATGTTACTAATTATTTTATATATTTTATTAGATGTCACATTATGAAACATTGGTCAAACTACTTTTGCATTTAGCTAATAATGCGCAACAAGAAAGTTATGTTCAACGTATTGGAATATTTCTTTTAAATACATTGGCATGTCAAGTAACAGGTAGAGAAAAACGTTTATTAGGCAATCTAGGTTGTATAAAAACAATGCTTGAACTAATCAAATACAGAGTTGAGTCTAGAACATTTGATGATGTTATGGAAGTAGCTTGGTCAACTATGTGGAATGTGACTGATGAAACTCCTATAAATTGTCAACGATTTTTTGAAGAAAATGGTATGCCGCTATTTTATAGATGCGTTATGGTATGTAAAATTAATATTATTTAATTTATTAATGAAAGTATTAAATTCATATAATATTTTTAAATATTTTATGCTTATAGCAATATTCTCGTAAAGAAGAATTATTGAAAAATATGATGGGATTACTTGGTAATGTAGCTGAAGTACAAAGTCTGAGAGTGCACCTAATGCAACTGCCATATATGGTTGTTTTTACAAATTTAATTCGTAATGTTAGAGAAAGCATTGAGGTATTTTATATAACATAATTATATTTAATAATTATATTTTTATAATATATTTATTTTTTTATAATTAATTTTTTATAATTTTTTTTGTTGTTAGGTACCATATAATGCAGTTGGTATATTAGCTCATATAGCATCTGATGGTGTTGAAGCATGGACAATAGAAAAACCTAGTCGGGATGTAGTTCTTGAACTTATGGTTGAAGCTATTGAAAGATGGGATATATCATCAGAACGTAATATTAATTACCGTTCGTTTCTGCCATTATTACGTTTAGTAGATATATATCACACACCACAATGTCAACATTGGGCAGTTTGGGCTCTTGCTAATCTTACCACTGTTTATCGTAAGTATTATATTTTGTAAAATTTAATTTTATTTTAAATTTTAAAAATAAATTTCTTCATTTCATATATCCATATAAAAATATTATATTAAAAATTTTATTATTTATATTATTATATATACATACGTATTTAACATTTAACAAGTTTTATTAAAATCATGATTATTTTTTTTAATAGCTCATAAATATTGTATATTAGTTATACGAGAAGGAGGCCTTGAAAAATTGAATACCTTAATCTCAGATGCAAGACCATATGAACGTATAAAAGAACTTGCCCATACTGTAATTGAAAATTGTAGTCATTATAGTAGCAACTCCAATGATATGAATGTTCATTCGCCATTAGATGAAGATTATATATATAGTTCAGATGGTTAAAATTCAATTTTCATTACTATAATTCAATAGCATAAAAGTAGAATGTTTTATGTCTGTAATAAAAAATTTTCTAAAAAAAAAGAGTGTGAGTAAGATTATAAAAATATGCTAAAATATTTGTATGTTGATTTGCCAAATTGTAAATTTAAAATTGAGTACTCAGACAATCTTACTCGCACTTTTATTACATGAACATTTCATTGCATATTTTATTTATTACATGTACAAAATATATTTGGACTATTTGTGCAAATATATTATTAATGATATTAAAAAAAAAGTAGTAATTAGTTTAATAAAAATATTTTTGATGTAATAATCTCTATAACACTGTCCAAATTCAAATACATTTTTGATTTATGTAAATAACCATGCTGTATTATAAATAAGATGAAACTAAATTTAGACTGAAGTAATTTCTTTAAATGATGAATTACTGATTTAAACTTATATTAAGTTTCTTATACTTATGTGAATTCTTTGTAGATATTTGTATTATAAATAATTTTTCAGTTGCCATTAAATTTTGTTTCATGAAAAAGATTTAAAATAAAAATAAATCTATACATTAGACTATTATGTAAATAAAATTAAAATGAAATAAGATGAATTAGATTTA